AGTTACTTATCCTAACACTCCCATGTTATTAAGCAGTTGAGCGACTGTGTAATATCCGGTATTTATTTTATTTTATTTTATTCCTTTTAAATAATTTTATTTAAGCCCTTAAAGGATTTAAATGTAAGGAGAGGGAATTAAGAGGTTTAACTATAAAGGAATCAAGAGTGAAAGGACTAACCAAATATTATACATTTTTTTTAGTAAAACCTAAATAGAAAACGGACTAGGGGTTGGCGGAAAAGGCTGGAATGCTACCGTCCACTTCTGAAGTGCTGTCGCCATTTGTGAAGCATAAGAAAGGGGCTTCCGTCCAATAGATTGCGGATTAGTCAAATTGAGGAAATTTTAGGGATTCGATTCTACCAATGTGGCCTATGATTTGTAGATCTTTTTAATTCTAACAAAGAAGATAGTATAAAAGTTTTAAATAATTCAAGAGATAGTGTCGAGTGAAAATATTGATTAATTATTCGAGGTAAGTTGTTATATCCTCTAGTATTATTTTTAAAAGGTTTGTTTTATTGAAATTTTATTTTACCTATTCGAGCATATTTTATATAATTTTATTTGGTTACTATGTTTTAAGAATAAGAATATTTTATAATGAAACAAGATGAATGTTGATCAAGCATTTTGAGTGTGGATTGTTTTCTATCGAAGAGTGTGGTTTATTAAATTGGAAATAATTTTTCTCTTGATATCGGGTTTTCATGTCCTTGGTTGGCTGGATAAATTAACCGTTCCTCAGGAGTATACTGAGGGTATTTATAGTAGTCCCGGGATCTACTTATCATGGAGTGTGATGTGGAGTGTGATGCTATATTTGGAGTGTGATGCAGCCTAAAGAACTTGAAATTGTTGTTTCTTTTCATCTAGTTTGGAATGTGGTTTTCTTATTGAAAAGTCGTTTACTTTATTTAATTATTATTTCATTGATATACAATGCTTGATCGAACTAGATGGGTATACTATTACTGAGCTGTCTAGCTTATGCTTTTAAATCTCATCTCATTTCAGGTACAGACAAGTAAGCATTTGGGGTTGCATTTGGGAGTGAGAGGCACAACGATTCTAGAGTAGTTCCTTGGTTTAGTTTAAGTTATTCTGGATTGTTGAATAATTAGAATTGAAGATCTATTTGCTATGACTTGTTGCTATTAAATTTTATGTTGGATTTTATGAAGTGAGAATTAAGTGTTTTGGATTTGAAAAACTTCTCATACATGTTAATAAAGATGGAGTTTCCTATAGAATTTAATTTTATTACATTTGGACACTAAAAGTTGTTTAGTTAAGGTAGCCTTACACATTTATGGGGTCATCCCTATAGATATGTGGCGTTTGTTACGTCTTGATCTTGGGGTTGGGGCGTGACAGACTGCATATGCATAGGGCACCTATATAAACACTTACCATGGAGGTAAACCTCTCTGGAGTTTCAGGATCGATTCGATAAATGTGCTCGACACTT